AAATAGGTTTTTTGTACTTTCTCTTACATTAAATAAAGGGTTATTATCTAAAACTTCCCTTCACTTTGCCCAATTTCTTTTAAACTTATTCTGACTTTTCAAAACCTCCAGAAATCCCCCTGTTAGTGAAGTTTTCTCTGTCAAATAACTGTTTGGAAAAGAAAGCATGTAGAAAACAAACAAACAAATTCTTCTTTTATCCTCCAACCCAAAGGTCCTAAGCCCATTTAGATGAAGATATGAACCCCTAAGTCTTAGATGGAAGGGTATTATAATAAATTTCATCATCACACAATTTTTGTTCATGACGAATCCAAAAGGAGGGGTGGTATGGTAAGTTTCCTAATGGTAGATCTCTGACAGGGGGGGGGGGGTCCCTGGAGGTTTTGAAAATTCAGGGTAAGTTTAAGAGAAACGGGGAAAGCAGTGGCTCCACCGTTGTTCTTTTTCTCTTTTAGTTTCCATCTTAAATTTTTTATCATATAAAGTTTTAGCCGTTTTTAGTTGCTAATTGATATGAAGTTAGCATTCAATACTTTGGTGTTGTTTTCTCAAATATTGAAATTAATATATTTAAAAAACTTTTATCTTTTTGATTTGGTGATTTGCAATGTTTTGAGATGTCATTTAATGTTCTCAATAAAGAGAATTGCTATTCTTTCAATTAATATGCATACTGAATGGTATATAAAACTAGGGATCTAGCCTGCTGGCTGAAATTTAGTTCTTTATTTTATAAATTCTTATTACCTAGGCATCCCATTGTCTCCCAATATTGCACAGTTGCCTTGACAACTATGGATTAAAGAAATATTAGCTAATTTTTAGAGATACAACATTGCCTCAACTGTCTCTCCATGGCTAACCACCAATTATAAAGTATAGCCATTATATCTGGAAACAATAGATATAACTCTGAGTTTAGCAGAATAGTGGAACAGGATTAATGTAGCCAACCCCATATAGTTGGGACAAAGCTTAGTTGAGTTAAGTCATTAGATCTAAAAAACTATAAAGAAAAAACTCAGAAGCCCAACCTCCCTCAGTGGTGAACTTCTAACAATCTTTTGTCCTAAAAAAGTACTTTACAATAAAAAAATATTCAAACCACTGATCCCTTTCTCTTCGTTTTTTTCTTCTCTCAGTAGAAGAGCTACATCCCTTATCTTCGACCAGCCCTATATCTATTGATTCAATATTGAAGTTATAAGGCCATATTGCTGAAGCAATATCTCTTTGTCCTTGTAGAATCCAGCATCCCCTCTAATTGAATATGCACAACATCCCGCCTACTTCAATCCACCCAGTGGAAACAATTTAAGGATAGTGCTTTATCTTCAATTATTGTATTTTAATTACTATCAAAATCATGCAAAAAAGAAAACTATGTTAAATAAATAGCAACTTCCTTTTGCCTTTTTTTGGGTACAATGTGGTCACTGTCAGACTTAAACCAGTGTGGCAGCCCATGATTTTACCATTACATCAAGCGACAGCCCCTATTTTCTAAATGACAATAGTTTGAATATATATCAATAGTTAAAAGGTAGATTTTTTTGCACAAGAAATATCTAATTAAATCCACTGTAAATAAGACCTTTAGGAAAAAGTGTAGCTAAAAGAGAATATTTTGTATTTAGTAACCCTTTGGAGATAGGCCCAAAAGCTCAGTTGATGCTTAGAGAGTGGAAGCTAGAATGGCTCATTTTGTAAAATCCCCATTTTGAAGTGAACCAATGGAGTGGGGGAAGTTCCAATGGATCAAAGATTCTCTGCTTCTTCTTAAAGTTAAAAATGAAAGAAAAAGAAAAGGAATAGACATAAAAATAGTGTTTCTAGTTTTTATGTCTATTCCTTTTCTTTAAGTCATGAGTTATTACTGAACGTTTCTTCTTAGTATTTTGTTGTATAAATACAGATAGAAAGGGAAAGATCACTAGGAAGTATCTATTCTACTAAGTTATAATAGTAAATAAGAATAAAAGGTGATTTTGTATAAGTCCAAGCATTCCTTACATATTGGAAGAAGAATTATTTGTGACATTTCTTATTGACCATATTTAGCTTGCAAAAAGGTGACATTAATTATCTTGCTAAAACAAGTTGACTATAACTATATTATAACCAATTAAGCTTCCTTAGTAAGGGTGGTCCTACCATGGATTAACAAGCTTATGCTTTAACAAATTTGAGGTTCGTATTATGATTCTCTATCTTTCTGGGAGGGCCTAGGAACCCTTTTTCCACCTTTGGTTGAGGGTGGTCCTACCATGGATTAACAAGCTTATGCTTTAACAAATTTGAGGTTCGTATTATGATTCTCTATCTTTCTGGGAGGGCCTAGGAACCCTTTTTCCACCTTTGGTTGCTCATATTGGTCATGCCTTTACTGTGCTGTTTGTTACCCAAAGTAGACAGTTTACCATTTAAAGAATCTAGAATTTTCTTTTGCTACAAGCCTACAACTCAGCAACAAAGAAATGGAGGCAAAAATCTAGCTTCATTGGAGGTTCACACATCTCTCTTAGGAATTAGGACTTACAACTATAGAAGAAAAAGAAAAACTACATGTAAGAGTTCCAACATTGTCAACTGTGTAATTTTATTACTACATATGAAGAATGTATGATATACAAATCTGGTTGTGCCTGGCACCCCTCAATATATTAGTCTTGCAAAATGCTGCCCAACCCCAAACAGAATTACTTTTGATTAACCATTATCCCCAAGATAAACCATACCCACCCCCAAACACATCTGGCTGATTTCTGTTTATACCTTGTCTAACCAAGGCATCTATCAAACTTTTTTTTCCTGAGCTCTTAGTTCATATAAAGGTGGCCCTTAATTTCCTTATAAATCTTTTTACTTGGTGCATGTATACTGCCAAGTGCCTAGCCTATCATTCTAGAGACATCCAATAACCACCCCTGAGTCCCCTTTCACTTGATGTCTCTTTAATTTAAAGATATCCTCAACCTTATCCTTTGGAGCACTAGTAGTACTGTAGTATAGCTCTAGTTGAACTCCCTTATGATAACTGCAATTTATAGTCATTCAAAGAGACAATGAACCCTTCATATTTTTTTTTCCAGTAGAAAGTACTCGTATTGTACAGTCTTTTCTCTCTTGTCTATTTCTTGGAAGAAAAGATCCCCATCTGTCTCAAACTAGCTGCATCTTTGTTGACACAATGTCAAGCATATATTAAACTATTGGTTGGACAATATCTGTTTTTCTTGTCACCTTTGGACTACAATTTTTAGCATCAAATAGGTAGGAAGTTTATCATTTAATACCAATATAGCCTATATCAAAGATATATTGATTAATTGGTTGGACGACATCATTTTCTTTTCTCACCATTGGACTACAACTTTTAGGTTCAAATAAGTAAGAAGGTTATCATTTAATACAATATACCCCTATGCAAAATCTTTGTTTCTTCAGTATACAAATTTTCATATGAACTTAATTTCATTTTTCCAACTTTAAAAATTTTATAAATTATTTTATTACCATTAATCATTGTTCTCTGCTACTCCATTATTTGTTTCATACTGTTTCATTTTCTTTCTTTCTTTCTATGGTCAAACAGTTTGATATATTCATTTGAATAAGTTTTAGGTCCTACATTATATTTACTATAAAATAAGAAAAACACAATTAGAGTTGAGCACAAAAGCTAAGAGAATTAGGTAGAGCCCCACAAGCTTGAGAGAAAGCCTATGGATGGTGTTCTATCTCGTGTCCCTATCCAAAAGCCTTTCCACACAATGCCAGCTAGTACCCTGAAAGCTTTGTTGGAACAGATTGAACATTAATGAGGACAGGCCAAATTTGGAAATAATTATGCTAGGGAACAGTTACTCAGGTATGAGAAATTAATTACATTCTAAATGAACTAAGGTTCTTGAGGGATAGCTGTGAGGAAGATGTAATAGATTGAAGCAAAAAGTGCTAAATTTTTTGGGAGAAGTGAATTTTAGAAACATGAAATCAGATTTTTAGCTAGTTAATGGATCTAAAAGATTGGAGACTAAGAGATAACTTAATGTGACCACTTCCATTACCTTGGTTCAATAATTCATAACAAAAGAGAAATTGAGGAGGATGTCACTGATAAAATTAGAGCAGGATGGGCGAAATAGAGGAGTTCATCTAGTGTCTTGTGTGATAGGTGAATACCACTTTGGCAAAGAAACAACATGTGCGAAAAATGAGTGCGGCAGAAATGCAAATGCTGTGATGGATGAATGGTAAAACTAGAAGGGATAATGTTAGATAGAAATCAAGTCATACAGAGGAACATGGGAGTAACTCCAATAGGTGATAAAATGAGTGAAAGTAGATTCAGATGCTTTGGTGATGTGCTTAGAAGACCATCTATAGCACCTGATAGGAAAAAGTGATCTGTTACAAGCTGAAAGGCCAGAAGAGCTTGGGGCAGATTGAAAAGGACTATTGTGGTGGTAATAAGAAAATATTTAAGTGTCCATAATTTAACAATGGATAATGCACTGAACATAATGGAATAGTGAAGCAGGCTGCATGTAGCTGACCCAATATAGTTGGGACAAGGTTTAGATGTTGATAATGATGGTGAGCTTAGGTGTTGAAGAGCTGGTTTTTGAAAAACGCTCATCTCTTCCATGCATGAAAAGATCGTGTTAGTGGAAAAGTAGTTCTGAGAAGATGATTACATATGGTAATTACTCGATTGATATATGTAAACATTTTTATTTTGTAACATACATGTGACTGTTAAATAGGGATAAATGCATTACCAAAAACAGGATACATACATTTAAAGGCTAGTAATTGTTAAATTGACCATTCTTTGGTACATATTTCCTTTGCATAAATATGCATCTTTATATTTTGGGAGTGATGATGGTGCAAGTTTTACCTATAATTCACTAGTAAGTTGAAGCTTTGACTATGTTGATGAACTAGAATGCCCATTTGGAGTTGGCAACTAAAGCAGTTGTATGTGACAGATGACAACACCAATATCAATCGAAGACGTTCGTAGGGAAGTGAAAATCTTGAAAGCATTATCTGGGCACATGAATCTGGTCAAATTTCATGATGCGTGTGAGGATGTGAATAATGTCTACATAATTATGGAGTATGTCCACTCTAACTTGATTTCCATGAGATCTACTTGGGTGAATATGGTTTGATTTTGCTATGGTGGCACTTGGGTTATCTGTTCAAAGCTCTAAATCTTATGGAGAATCAATGCTATTTTAATTCCACATTTTAATCCCATTTTTACATCTGAATAGAGGATAACTGAATGCTTATTTGTGTCCTGAACCCTGGAAGTGCAGACTGGTTCAGTTTTTTATTTTCGGCCAAAATTGGAAACCGAACTACAGTTTCTGAAAACTTATTTTATATAAGGATTGAGATATAATTTTCTGGTAATTAGACTGGTAATCTATTATGGACTTAATTTTGAAGTTTTCAAATTCGAACTCCTTGTCTTGTATTATTTCATAGTTTCTCCTTGAAGTTATTAAACTTTTACATGAATCTCATATATGTTTATTTTTCTTTCTCAGATTGTGTGAAGGTGGAGAACTTCTAGACAGAATTTTATCTAGGTATAGTATAATTGCTTATTTTCTTTGTAACACTTGTTAGGGTTCTTGTGTCTAATATTTTAATAAAAAAGAATTGCTCTGAAGGAATTTCATGCTATTATTTGTTGCAGAGGTGGAAGATACACAGAGGAAGATGCAAAGGTTATTATTGTGCAGATTTTAAGTGTCGTGGCCTTTTGTCATCTTCAAGGTGTTGTACACCGTGATTTGAAACCAGAGGTTTGCAGCTTGACAAGGCCCTTGAAATTCTTGTTGCATTTTGCAGTGCATTTTTCCCTTGTGTTAATTTTTTGTCCTTTATCCCCACCATATCAAGGGATTAATTATTTGTTATTCTTGATTGCTTGACAGAACTTTCTTTTCACCTCTAGAGATGATGATGCTTCAATGAAGCTTATTGATTTTGGTCTTTCTGATTTTATCAGGCCAGGTAATCTCATTAGTGTTTTTTTTTTTTTTTTGTTTTACTTTTTGCTGCCTTTTGCTGTTTGGTATTTTTCAAGTTTTGGTTCTTAAAGAGTGAAAATTTTGTTGCCTTATATAGCTCCAAGTTGAGCTTGTGGTTGTCCTTTCCCATCAAAGTGGTCTCATAGAACAATGGATTAATCTCATCCATCCAAGTTGTCTTCATCATCATCATCTAAGTTTTATCCCTACTATATGGGGTCAGCTACATGAATCCTGTTTTGCCATTCTTTCTATTTAATGTCATATCCACTGTTAAATTATAGGCACTTGAATCACTTCTTACTACTTTGACCCATGTCCCTTTTTGTTCTGCTCCCAGCCCTTCTAGCTCCTTCAACTTGTAACTGATCGCTTTCTCTTGTGGATGCTGTATGCAATCATATATGGATGTGACTGGACCATCTAAGTCTACTTTCTTGCATTTTATCACCTATTGGAGCTACTTCTATGTTCCTTTGCCTTCATTTCTGATCCCATTCTTTCTAGTTTTCCACCTATCCATATCTGTGTACACATATATGCTATACCATATTTGGACATGTTTCTTGACCACCCAACGCTTTGCTCCATACAGCATTGTTGGCCTCACAACTGTTTTATAGAATTTTCCTTCTAATCTAAGTGTTATTTACATATACATAAGACTCTGGATGCACCCTTCATTTTTCCCATTCTTTCTAGGTTTCCACCTATCCATCTCTGCATACACATATATGCTATACCCATTTCTGGACATGTTTCTTGACTATTCAATGCTCTGCTCTATACTGTGTTGTTGGCCTCACAACTGTTTTATAGAATTTTCCTTCTAATTTAAGTGTTATTTACCTATACATAAGACTCTGGATGCACCCAGAGAAGAAGATAAAAGAATACCATGGGGGCTGGTATTTGTTTGTTGGACACGGTGCTTTGAAGGTTGAATTTGTGCAACTCTTGTGCTCAAAAGAAGCTTAGAAGGATATGCCTGATTGGTTTTTATATTTTGATTTATGTTTCTCAGAGTACTAGTAGTTACTCTTGAAAATCATTATAATGCTGGGTTGGTGTTTCGTGTTTTTTCTTTTGGGTCTGCAAATATGATTGTTTCGATTTTATTTGTGTCACTTGTCCTTTAAGACCTGTTCCAAAGGGTAGCAAGCATGGGTTGGACAGTGAATCATTTCTGATGGGGTGTGGTCAATCAATTAAAAGATGAAAGATCAATGGAAAAATGTCAGAAGTCATCTTTTTTTCCTATCCATGGATGTAATAGGAATATAAAACTTGTTTGCTTTGGAATTCTGATTTTTGCAAGATCCTGGCCAAGACAGAGCAGAATGACCATCTGAGTATGGGAAGTAGAAGACTTGAAGGCTGTAATGTTCCATTCCATAAAATATACAAAAGAAACCTTCTCAACTTGAAAATTTTTTGGTTCTTTGGTTTTGCCTTATAGGTGATTGAGTTTTTTTAATTGCTATTATTAATTATTATTATCGTATCAGTTGTAGAATTAACCTATTTGACTGAGGCTTTCAGCATTTTCAAGTCATGCAAAACAGCCCAGGATCAATTCATTGTATTGTTTTGACATTAGGGAGGATGTTGTAATTACTCTTCCAGTTTTGGACATGACATACTATCTGAAAATCTTTTTCCAATGTGCGGAAGGGTTTCTGTTTGTTCAGTTATGGACATAAGCACAATTTAGGCATTCCATGCAAAATTCAAGTTATTATCGATGTGGATTTTTCTCCTACTATGTCATTGTTGTATTCAATCTATCTGCATTTCCAAATAAAAACCCTTTTTTTGCTTGTTTTTGTGCAGATGAAAGACTCAATGATATTGTTGGCAGTGCATACTATGTTGCTCCTGAAGTCCTTCACAGATCGTATAGTATGGAAGCAGACATTTGGAGCATTGGTGTCATAACATATATATTATTATGTGGAAGTCGGCCTTTCTGGGCAAGGACTGAGTCAGGAATTTTTCGTTCTGTTTTGAGAGCTGATCCTAATTTTGAAGAATCACCTTGGCCTACAGTATCACCCGAAGCGAAAGATTTTGTGAAAAGGCTTCTTAACAAGGACTACAGAAAGAGGATGACTGCTGCACAAGCCTTGAGTAAGTTGTGAATTCCATTAATTGCCTTTTAATATTTATAGGAAGCTTTATTACTTGGCCATCTTTAAATGGTTTTTATAATTGTTTTTTTTAACAATTAGATATTGGAGTGAGTTTATATATCTAGTTTGGTGTTGAAGTATCATCTATTAATGACATTAAGATTTCTATAGATTAACAAGTGCTTCTATTGTTGGCAGCTCATCCATGGTTGCATGATGAAAACCGCCCTGTCCCCTTGGATATTTTAATCTATAAGTTAGTCAAGTCATATTTCCGTTCAACACCTCTCAAACGTGCAGCATTGAAGGTAATGGCTCTCCTTTATGATAGTACAAGCCACTTTTCTTTTGCCACACATATTACTTACTGGAGAATAATGCCCTTCAGTCAATTATTCATCACGAGAACATTGCAAATTCATCACACCATTCATACATAGTCCATTAAATCTTGGTTTTGTCAACATATTTCTATGATAAAAGTATTTTCTTCTATCTTTGCTTAATTGAAAGGCCATGACTACAATTTGTATCGAATGGTTGGAATGGTAAATTTACTTTCTCTTCAAGACTATAATTTTATCATTGGTTGTTCACATTAAGATACCTATATGATATACAATTGTATGTATTGAATTGCTATATCTTGATTATTTACTGAATACTCCAGAGCTTAGTATTTTGATCCCTCAAACATAGGTTTCTTCCAGAAGGGATGAATTAGGAATAGACAAAATTTTCTTTTCTTTTTTTCCCCATCAATGTGTTTAGCTGGAAAAGGAGTTTTTGTGATGGTGGGATGGAGCTGATAAATGATAGATTACTAATAGGTTTAGCTGTGTTACTTGCTTCAGCTTGTTGTGAACCTCTTACTATTTTGATCCCTCAAACATAGGTTTCTTCCAGAAGGGATGAATTAGGAATAGACAAAATTTTCTTTTCTTTTTTTCCCCATCAATGTGTTTAGCTGGAAAAGGAGTTTTTGTGATGGTGGGATGGAGCTGATAAATGATAGATTACTAATAGGTTTAGCTGTGTTACTTGCTTCAGCTTGTTGTGAACCTCTTACTGTTTTTTGCATTTGGAAAATAGTCAGGACTATTTTTTGTTGGCTTAGCTAGGTGAATTACTTTTTCTGCCTTTTAATTCTTATGTCCCGTTTGTTTGGTTGTACAGTCTAGGGGGAAGTTGACCAACTTTCCCATGTTTGCTTTTTGGTAAGTTTGGCAATGGGGAAAGTTGACCAAGTTTCCCACATTCGCTTTTTGGTAAGTTTGGGTCCCACAGTAATCCAACTTCCCCCCAGGTAAGTTTTTTGGTAACTTACTCGGGAAAGTCTTATCCATCTCCCAGGTGGGTAAGTTACTTACCCATGGAGGGGGAAAATTGGCCAAATTGTGTGGGACTATAATGCCCCTGCCAGTGCCAGCACATAAAAGTTGGAGGTCTTTTTAGGAAATTCACCTACCCAACTAACATTTCTCTGCAAAAGAACATGGGTAAATGTACTTACCTGGGTAACACTTTCCCAGGTAACACTTTCATGGGTAAATGCATTTACCCAGGTAAGTAACTTACCGCCAAAAGAATGGGCCTTAAATGCCTTAGTGTTTCCATGACTAAAGTAGGCCTGAGGCTATTGGTGGGTCAGCTAACCTTCAACTAGTTTATGCTTAAAAATCAACTTTTCAACTAGGCTCAAGGCTAGATTAATGCGTTTCTTGATTTCTCCTTTGTTTTTATGTTATTTTCCTTGTAAAAATAATACTTTATTAGAAATTAGACAGATTAATTTTAATGCAATTTTTGTGTTAATTTATTTTGACTATTCAGTAATATCAACATGTCTGACTTAAACAGAGAGGTCTACATGTTAGCTGTATATGAATGTGTATGTGTGTGTGTGTGTCTAGAAAGCTTGATTTTCTGAAAACAAGTATGAAATCTGTGAAATTGTCTTGATATTTTAGTTTCTAAAATTCATTCCCAATGGTATAGGCACTATCAAAAGCTTTGACAGAGGATGAGCTCGTTTATCTTAGGGCTCAGTATCAGCTGCTGCAACCAAGTCAAGATCGCTATATCTCTCTTGAAAACTTCAGAGTGGTTGGTGCTTCATTTTCTCTCTCTTTCAGCTTCAAAGTTGTTAATTGGTTAATGATATGAAGTTTGGGTTTTGTTTTTTCTGCTTAATGGGAGCAATATAAGCCATTTAAGCAAAGATTTAATAAATGTAGTTAGCGTCTCTTTATTTGTTGTTGTGTTTTTGACTGTTAATTGTACGTTTCAGGCTCTTATGCGTAATGCAACTGATGCCATGAGGGAGTCGAGGGTTCCTGACATTTTAAGTGCGGTGAGGCATCTGATACGTTTTAAATAGAATAGCTATGGGGACTGCATATCAATGTCATCTTGCTGTCACATTCAACACATCAAGTCTATTATCCACCTGAACTTGCACGTTATCATCTGACGAACTGAGATTGATATTAAACATCTTATGAGCTTGTTTATTATCCACCTGGGTTTTTTAAGATATCCAACATTTATGACTGTCGAACTAACATTAGCATTGTGACCATTGTCCAACACATCCTGTCAATTATCCACCTGAACTTGCACTTTGTTATCTAACGAACTGGCATTAGCATTAATTCTTAGTTTCTAACTTCATATGAGCTTCCAAACATTCATCTAGTTACTGAAGCAAGCCATAAGCAATTTCATTCAAGCTTCCACTTTCCCCGGCTTTCCACTGTAGTTGTTGGTCAAGGTTGTAAAGGTTGTTCATGAATTCACATAATGGGATGATTTACTAATTCGCTTTTTATTTTGATGACAGATGGAACCACTTGCATATAGAAAGATGGATTTTGAAGAGTTCTGTGCAGCGGCAATCAGCACATATCAGTTGGAAGCTCTTGAAAGGTGGGAGCAGATTGCAAGTACAGCTTTTCAGTACTTCGAGGAGGAGGGGAACAGAATTATTTCGGTTGAGGAGTTGGCAGGGGTTGGTACCGTACACCTTAGCTTTTAGGAAATTGTTTTTGAATTCATATATGATCTACTGAACTTTGATAAACCATTTCTACAGGAAATGAATCTGGGACCTTCAGCTTACTCTATTCTCCGTGACTGGATCAGAAGGGAAGACGGGAAGATCAGTTTCCTTGGATATACCAAATTTTTGCATGGTGTGACAATCCGTAGCTCAAATACAAGACAATAGTATTTTATTTTATTCTATTTTATTTTATTTTTTTTTTACAGCCGATGGGGCAAATTGATTTTCGAAATTCGTGGGCATCGAAATGTCTGCAGATTTCTTTTTTTTTTTTTTTTGGTTGAGGAAGTGTGTACAAAAAAATTTATAGGTTAAGGCCGTTAAGCCACCAGTTGCATGCAAGGTTTTGAGGCATCTTTATGCGTCTTCTCTCTGAAACAAGAAAAAATAATCATTTCAGGACAAAAGCTAAAAAAATTGAGAATAATAATTATCTTTTACTATGATTTCCCTAGGGTTATAAAAAGGGCCGGGACTCGGTCACTGCAGGGCTGAAAATTTTACATCAACTTGCCCTCTTACGTGGATCCTTTTCCGATATAAGGTGGGCAATCAAGTTTCTTTTGTAACAAACACTACTGCTATCGTTTAAATTTGGGTAAATTACAAATTATAATTTTCTTATTTGTTTAAATAATTTATAATTTGATTAATTTTTTAAATATAATATTGAAAATTTGAAATCCTCTCAGTTTATTTAAATATTTTGGCAGATTTTTGGATGGATTCAATATTCAAAAGAAATTGTATATTTCTTTATGATAGATATAAATTAAAGGTTTTGTTAGGTTTTTATTAATTTATTGAAAAAAGAAGTGGTTAATTTTTATTTTTAAGAAGAAGAGACATTCTTGTCAGTGAAATTATTATTATTATTTTAGTTGGTTTTATTTAGAGAAAATAAAAATATTTTTGGATCAATTAGGGTTTAAGAGAAAACAGGGCAAGGAAAAAACATAAGAAGTGGTATTTTGGTTATTTAACGTAACTTAATGGGTAGAGATATTTGTCGTGAAGTAAAAGTTCAGGGTATTTTTGTTGCAAATGAAAGTTCGGAAGGCTAATTATCACTAGCGCCATAGTAGAGGGGCCTTTATAATTTGCCATTTTAATTTTAAATAATTGAAATTAAAATGTTAAATTTACATACATCACCAAAAAAAATGGTGTGCACAAGCTTCTGTCAGCCTATTTATCTTCCACCCAGGTAGGCCTATAAACTATATTCGAAAATCCGAATTCGAATTCGAGATTTGGTCTAATCGAATCAAATATTGGTTGAATTTGGATATACATTATTCGATAAATATCCTAACTGATTATATATAATATTATTATAATATAATATAATATAATATAATATATATAATATAATATAATATAATATAATATAATATAATATAATATAATATAAAAATTAAAAAATAAAAAATGAAAAATAACATTAGTTCGAAAATCTCAAAAGTCAAAACTCAAAATCAAACATTACATTAGAAGTTTGAACTCTTTCATTTTACCTCTCAAAACCAGCCTTCGTCTGTCACTCCTTTCACCGTCGTCGATTGTCGCCTGAGCAACCACCCTCGGTCCATAACCGGTCACCCACTCATCGTCCAACCAACCACTAGCCTTTCGTTGGAGTTCGAACGCCATCGCCGCTCATCTCGTATTTCCTCTTAGGCTCTTACCTCTATCTCTCTTCTGTCTTTGACTCGCCGCCCAAACAACCATCATCACTGACGGCATCGTCTGTGATAGCGGTTGAGCACCGGTCACCGGCCATAGTTCAAGCTCAAAGCTCAAGGTCAACGCCGTCTCTTTCGCCCAATCGCCCGTTCGCCACTGCTCAAGGTCAAACAACCCTCAGGCCTCAACCGTCTAGCATCACCGGTGGGAAATCGCCAGGAATCCACGTTTTCCGCCGTCCCCTGCCTCTTTTCTCAAGGTGATTATAGTATTACAGTTACGATCAAGGAATTTGAACCCAGGTTGGTTTAATCTCCTTTTTTTCTCTTAAATACCTTAGGTTTATTATTCTCTCGATTGATTTCCCCTTGATGGATTTAACATTCTTCAGTGAATTTTTTTTTCTCATTAGTATAGGTGGTAGACAATGAAACCAACGGAGAGAAAAGCACAAAAGATCCTATAGAGACTAACGGGGCAGATTTCTCTGGAAGTCGAACTCAAATCGAGGTCAGAGGTTGTGTTGCTAGGGCAGCCAGAACTTCGTATGTTGCCAGAATCCTTCGTTCTCAGAAAAGATTGATGAAAAGAGTCATGTTGTGAATGAGGGGGAGGTGAAGGCAGTGGTTTTATCTTCATTGCACTTAAGAACACCCATAGCATTTACCTCAGGTTTATTATTTCTCCAACCATGCTTTTAAATCTTCACTGCACTTAAGAACACCCATAGCATTTTAGTTTTTCTTTAGAAATTAACCTAAATGGTAGTGGTTTTTATCTAATGTTAGGCTATGAGAAATTGAGAAGAATTACTTTGTTCCCGTTACCGAGTACCATAGCCATAGGACCACAACTTTTTCCTACAGAATCATACAACTTGGGTATTGCTTCATGGTTATTCTCTTTTACCTTTTGGTTTTGCATTTTATATATCAATCAGCTTGTTGATGTACCATGTAAAGCTTGGATTAGCACAACCAGGTCTTATTTTCACCTTTGGCTCAGTTTGGAAACAAATATGTACAGTGCAAAAACCTTGTATTTGCACAGTACATATTTGTATTTGTACTCTTTCAAAACTGAGCCCTACGTGAACAACAATTTCTTCAAGAACTAGGTGCTAATTTGGAGAAAGAATATTTTACATTCAATGTGTTTTCAGTTGCTTTCAAGGGGAAAGAATGTTTTACATTCAATGTGTTTTAAGTTGGTTAGGAAGCTTTGTTTGATTAAAATTAAATGTGATGTTTTGAAAAGTTGGACTCAAATTAGGAGTTTTACTGTATATAATATTTTGCACTAATATTTGTATTTGTACACTTTCCAAATTGAGCCAGGCATTGTAGGACACTAGGAGCACCTCTGTGAATGTGATTATTGTCTTAAACCTCCATGTGGTTGCCGTCTGAGGTGGCACTTATATGGTCTTACCTATTAAAATAGAAACCCTTTTGTTTCATCAAATAAAGAATTGAGATGGAATATGACATGGAGACACAAAATCTGTTAATTTCATCAATCAAAAGTTAAAAGAAACAACAGAAAGTTATTAATTCTTTTGTCTTTGTCATTTCTTTTGCCTCTCTCTGTGTGTCACTCTGTGTCTCGTGAACAAACCCTCCAACTAGAAAAGCAGCTCCCAGGACAATGGTGAACACATCAACCACCTCACAAACTGAAATGTATAAGCCATATGACCCATACCATGTGGTTGATAATTAAGTTCTTGGCTAGCTGAGCAAAGTTATCTGACACTAATAATAATATCCACATATTTCTTGCAACAAATTTTGCATAAATTCTGAAAAAAATACGGATGGCGATTCAGAACAACCAAATTTTTAATAAATTGGATAACGGTATGGTGAAAGAAAAAGATATATCATTATATATAGTAAGAAGTTAAAGATGGTAGTCTTTTGGAACTATTACTCTAAAATTGTTAGCTTTGGCCTGTGGGTTTTGAATTCGATGTACTCATGATTTGAATAATTGAATCAGTGTCTGTGGCTACAGGTACGTATACTGTTGTCAAGTTCTACCTTCTCCATGCATCCAAAGAACTATGGGCAGTGTTGAACATTGTTCCAAAGTTCATACCATGAAGAAAAGTAATGTGCGCCAACAGGTACCCTTATGCACCCTTTGAAGTTCTATTGCATCCATCGCTCTCCCTCCTTTCTTTGCAGGTTCATACATATACTCACGGGTTTTCTTGTTTCTGTGTTTTTTTTTTCTTTTCTTGTGAAGGAAGGAGAAGAAGGCTTATGAAGTCAAGAATGTGAAGTCTAACAACTTTAATTTCCTCATAATTCCATCTGAAAACGAAGATCTTAGTGTCTCACTTTTGATTGGAAAAAAAAACTTTATCCTTTGGTTTGGAGTTCGGATATTGCTAGCAACCTCTCTTCTATGTATTATGGTTTTCCTTGTTATGTAAGCATACTCTGTCCCTCTTTAACTTAATGCCATTTGTGGTTACTAAGCTCAAGTGAATCATCTTTTTAAAGTTTTCATATTCATGTTATTCTTATTGGTAATGGTAACTATCAGAAGTTTACCAGATTAATACTCGATTCATATGATGGCTTCTTTGAAATTGTTTCTGTTGGTTAGAAGGATCAAGGATGCATCATGTTGGTACATCTTTATCAATTTGGAAAGAGCTGAAAGTAAACATAGAATGCCTCATAAGGGGATAAATAACAGTTGAAGGCTACAAATGTAGTGCATCAGGCTTGGTAGATGAAACAATATTGATTGTAAAACTGGAATTAATCTAATCCCTAACTTGCAAAATTTGTCTATTGCAAAATAATCAATCTAATCAGATTTGAATTCATATTCGAAAAGCCAATCGGTCGGATTCGAATCGAATCGAATCGAATATTCGATTTCATAATCAAAATCAAATTCAAATTCAATTTGATGTACTTGATATCCGTCGGATATCGAATCGAATTCGAATATCAGTATCTATAATCGGTTTCAAATTTGAATCTAACCTGATTCGAATCGAATTCGATCCGTTTACAGGCCTACACCCAGGGGATTCTTTTGGCAGGTCAGACCTTGATCCTAGCAACTAGATTAAACTGATTAGCAAATGTCATAAGAGAAGTGGTCTAACTGGTCTCGTACAATCAAAACAATCTTCTGATTGATCATAAAATCTAACCAATCTTGTAAGTGGTATGAGCATGTTATCTTATTCTTTAGAGAAATTGTCTAAAACTCACCCCGAGTTTTCAGCATTTCTCTTAAACTTATCACAAATTTTCAAAATGTCTAAAACTCACCATATCACTAACATGACGTTAAACAAACTAATGGGTGTTAATATATTATCATTTTAACCTTCATAGAAAAATATAAAATATATACATATATTTTAATAATTAGACATGAAAAATAGGAAAAAGTTCAATAAAATATTTTCAAATATAAAATACATAAAACATAGAAATTTCACAAAATATAAAAAGTACAGAAATTGCAAACAAAATAAAAAAATATTTTCAAAATATAGAAACTATAGAAATTTAAAAACAAAATCAGAAAATAAAAATTGTAGAAAAAACACCAAAAATTATAGAAAAACACAGAAATTGCAAATAAATAACAAAACATATAGGAAAATTTATAGATTGTAGAAAATAGAAAAATGA